CAGCAGAACAGCAACACAGTTAGGTCACCAAAGTAGATAGGGAGATCGGAGGATCGAAAATAAAACAAGAGTATTGTACCTGGTTCTCTACTTCTATGCCCTGTCTGATGGCCCACTGAAACGTACCGAGAAGCGACATCAAGTAAATAAGAACAATGGACATGGTTCCGCTCTGCATATCTTTAAAGGAAAGAAAAGATTACCATGTGTAAAACCAGATATGCGCAATCACAAAGGGAAATAACTTTAAGCATAAAGTTCTTTATTAAATCATGTGACGCTATAAAAAAGCACCGGCTTCATTAACACAAGTCACAAAAATATTACCGAGAAAGAGGGGAGCGATTGCAATCCCCATTTCTGCACTACTAGCGATTGTCTGCCAACTATAAGCAACTTTAGGAATACAACCTCTGATGATCAAACATGCGATCTGCAGGTGAATAATTGACGTACATTCAGCATGCCTTATTCTGTTGAAATATCGCGTATAACCCTCCATCATGGCACAATACGAAGATATTTTGTAATTGTGAAGCGGTTCTTTTTTGTAATTGTCAGGGACCTCTCTACATTTCCTTATTCTGCTGCGAAAACGCTCTATTAAAACTAATTTGAATTGGTCTATCACATACTGCGAGAAGTCTGCTAATGAACCCAGAAGTTCCATTTAGTCGTCAATCTTCGACCTGAATCCGTTGCAGACCCTTCCCGAAGTAATTAGTGTATATTTGATTATACTACTTGGGATAATTGATTAGACGTTTACGTTTACCCTTTTCGACAAATCGACAGCTGCTCGCTTTTCGTCTGAAATTATGTAAACGAACACTTTTAAATTTTTTCTGTTGTATCGATGTATTTCTTAGCCCCTGTGTTACCAATAAGGAAATCAAAGGCATTTGCCTGTCCTTTCCTTTATATAACTGAAATGAAGTGAAGGGCACAGCAAATGACTATTCCTAACACAGCTTCCTTGCCGGGAAATCCCCCGGAAACACATGTTTGGAAAAGCCTTAACTAAGTGTTTTTAGAGTTTTCAACATTAGGTAGGTTGCAAATTATGTGCTAACATGTTCTCCGGGAAAGGCGGTCCTAAATGGACCTGAGAACACTTGCAATAAGTACTGTCGGAAGGATACTCGACTCAAGTAGCCTAAAGTCGATAATAAGATGGGACCAACGAACCCGAGAAGATGCCAAGACAGAGAAGCATGGTCGCGATGACTGATAGAAGGAGGAAGCAGAGCATGTCCATGCGGATGCCCACCCATCGACTGGCGCCTATACCAAAACAACAGGCTCGTGTGTGCTGGTCCGTTAACGAATGATATTCTAGCCATTGGGTTTCTTCACTCCTTGTGGCCCTGATGCAGGGAAGGCCCTTAGCGGTTATCGTGAGGTGTGCGAAAATGGGGCTTCGAGCTGCAAAAGGCGAAAACGGAAATGAGTGAGTGAATGTGATGAAGTTATTTAGGGAGTCATCGGTATGGATAGGGTGTGTATCCTCCTCCAGAGTTTAGTC